GCAGCAGAATAAGGAAGAATGGGAGAGGAGGTTAAGAGGAAACTCACCATTTTCCTACATTTCACACATTTATCAACTTGTCATCTGTAGATATATTCTTATTTCCTAGACCATCTTCATCTAAAGGCTCCAGGAATAAAATGTAGCATTGATATAATATTTATTTTTGTATGATCTTTTTGATGCTAGACATGAGGAGAGCAAATATGAACCTGACTAAGATCTTACTTCTGGTATGTATAGGGTGGATATATTAATCTGGGTACATTTTCTATAGTTCATAGGTGAGTGCTATTGATCCCAATTTGCCAAAACCTAAAGAAACAATTTAAAGTTACCAGATGCCCAAAGTATACAATTATTTCAAAGTTAAGAGTTAAGGTCACATCTTCAGGTTTTACTGTCTAAAGTATGTACTTATTTCAATATGACTTGTCATAAGAGATGGATTATTATGTTGAGAAATTATAAGCACCTTCCTCTAATACCCAAGTTTCCAGTCAAGCCAGATTGTCTTTACCAGAATTCATTTGTGTTGAACATTATAGAGTACACTGACACAATCTTAGATGGCATAATTTATTACACACCTAGAGTATATAGTATAGCCCCATGGTCGGCAAACTACAGCTCGTGAGCCACATGTGGCTCTTTGGCCCCTTGAGTGTGGCTCTTCCAAAAAATACCATGAGTCTATTTTGAAGAAGTGTCATTAGAAGAAATTTAAGTTTTAAAAATTTAGCTTTCAAAAGAAATTTTAATCATTGTATTGTTGATATTTGACTCTGTTCACTAATGAGTTTGCAACCACTGGTATAGCTTATTGCTCCTAGGCTACAAACTTGTACAGCATGTTACTATACTGAATGCTGTAGGCTATTGTAACACAATAGTTAAGTGTTTGTGTGTCTAAATATAGGAAAGGTACAGTAAAAGTACAGTATCTATAATAATAAAAGAGAAACATGCAAATTGACCATACCTTTGCTATGCTCACCAGCCATGCCATGCCCACCACCCAATCAGGAGCAAGTATGCAAATTAAACCAACCAAGATGGCTGCAGCCAAAGGCTTGTGTTTCCCCAGCAATGGAGGAAGCCAAGCTTCCTGGCCTACCCTGGCCTCTGCTCAAGGCTACAAAGTTTCAAATATAGAAGATAAATAAATCTCAGATACCAGTGCCTCTGCTTGGGTAGCCAGGGGTGCGTGGCCAGCCAGCCCTTACCCAGGCCACCCCACACCCTAAGGAAACCCCCACTCTGATCCAGGGCACCTTTCAGGGCAAACCACCTGGCCCTCACCCGTGTACCAGGCCTCTATTCTGTCTGATAAAAGAGTAATATGCAAATTTACCATCACTCCAACAAACAAGATGGCTGCCCCTACATGGTCAAAATACGGCTATCCCCATGTGGACACAAGATGACCAGCAGGGGAGGGCAGTTAGGGGTGACCAGGTCTGCAGAAGAGGGAAGTTGGGGGCGACAGGGCCTGCAGGGAAGGGCAGTTGGGGGTACCAAGACCTGCAGGGGAGAGCAATTGGGGGGGACTATGCCTGCAGGGAAGGGCAGTTAGGGGTGACCAGGCCTGAAGGTTAGGGCAGTTAGGGCAATCAGACTGGAGGGGGAGCAGTTAGACATAAATCAGGATGGCAGGGGAGTGATTAGGGGGTGATCAGGCTGGCAGGCAGAAGTGGTTAGGGGCAATCAGGAAGGCAGGCAGGCAAGCAGTTGGGAGCCAGCAATCCTGGAATGTGAGAGGGATGTCCGACTGCCCGTTTAGGCCCGCCCACCTGGATTAGATCTAAACAGGCAGTTGGACATCCCCTCGAGGGGTCCCAGAATGGGGAGGGTGCAGGCTGGGCACCCTCATGCATGAATTTTGTGTACCTGGCCTCTAGTAAAAAACAAAAATAGTAAATTTCTATAGGACACTTATCATGAATGGAGCTTGCAGGAGTGGAAGTTGCTCTGGGTGAGTGAGAGAGTGAATGGTGAGTGAAGGTGAAGGCCTGGAATATTACTGTACACTTCTGTAGACTTTACAAATACTGTTCACTTAGGTTACAATAAATTTTAAAGACAATATGAAATTAATTCAATCACAAGAGAAAATTATGCAATCAAGAGACACATTAAACACAAGTTACTTGAGGCCACAGCTGGCATAACCCGGCATACTGTTTTACAGCAAACATTTTCTTTTTATATAAGTAGAACAAACATACTCTAAAATAAGGAAAAAAAGTACAGTATAGTAAATTCAGTATAGTAATATAGTCATTTATTATCATTACTAACTTTTATGTACTATACATAACAGCTATCCTTTTATATGGCTGTTATTGCAGTAGGCATGTTAACACCAGCAACTCCACAAACATGTGAGGAATGGCTATGACATCACTAGGCTTCAAGAACTGTTCTTATGGGACCACAGTTGTATATGCAATCTATTGTTGACCAAAACATTATGTGGTGCATGACTGTAGTTAAGATGATTGTGAACTGAGATTAGGCTAAGAGGAGGCTTGGAAGGAGAAACAATTTCATCAAACCTTTTAAAAGTTTTGTCTTTCTTATTATGTAATCAAGTTCTAATATAGCATTAAATGGAAATTTCTTGAATGAGGAAATAGATAGGGGATTGTACCGGGGGAGAAGGAAGACAGGTACAGGAAAAGTTCTTATAACTGAGGTCTGGGTATTGAACCCCATATTTAGGAGTTCTTACCTAGAGAGTGCCAGAGCCAGTGGCTAGAAGAAAGACTCCTTGGGACTACCATTTCAAGTGACCAGCCTATAACTCACCAACAGAACCAGGCATAGCCACCCTTACACAAATTATTATAGCAGTTTCTTTATGGAAGGAAAAAAAAACACACACCAAAACTCATACTAATAAAAAATTACACAGCCCTAGCCAGCTTGGCTCAGTGGATAGAGCATCAGCCTGCAGACTAAAGGGTCCCAGGTTCAATTCTGGCCAAGGGCACATGCCTGGGTTGCAGGCATGATCCCCAGTAGCGGATGTGCAGGAGGCAGCCAATCAATGATTCTCTCTCATCATTAATGTTTCTATCTCTCTTTCTCCTTTCCTCTCTGAAATATATATATATATATATATATATATATATATATATATATATATGTGTGTGTGTGTGTGTGTGTGTGTGTGTGTGTGTGTGTGTGTGTAGTATATATATAAAACAGCCTTGCCTCCAGACCTTGCAACCAAATTTCCATCTAATTTGTGCTATGATTAACATACTGGGTTTTCATGTCCTAACATTCCACATCACTTGATCAACTTATGAGGAAACATTCCCTTCTATACATGATCATTAACATAGGATGAGGAGTCACTCTTGTAGCTTGACTTTGAGGCTAAATTAAAGCCCATTAGAACAACAAAATTAGGGAGAGTAGGGAGTGACAATTCTATTAAGATAATATTAGCTACTGCTCATTTAATGTATGTTTAACTTACACACTGTGATAAACCTTGTACATACCCTAATTTATTCTCACAATAGCCATATTTGAATACCACTATTAGATTTCAAAGGTTAGAGGTTATAGAATTTAATCAAGATCATTTAGCTACATTATGTGCATTTTCAAATTTCATATCTTTCTTTAGACCCATCAACAGCATTGAGTGATCAAGGCAAGTTGAGTTACATGACCACTGAAACTTGGAACTTGACATGTGGATGCCTTGTAAGTCCAGTATTCCCAGTGGTGTTGAGAGGAAGTCAGGTGCAGAGGGAGAAGGGAAAGAAAGGTGAGCAAGTAAGAAGTAAACACTTGTTTTATTCATAAGAAAGTTCATTGCAAGGAAAATGGTGGAGATTGAGGTCAAGCAAGGGAGATTATTTTATCCTGAAGAGATTGGATAATGCATTTGAAGGTAAAGAAGTGATGACAAGAAGTAGATTGAAGAATCCAGAGATAGAAGACATAAGTAATGTCAGAATTTTTATAGGTGACAGGCAGCGATGTGATTGGTCATGTGCGAGTGGGGTGATTTGCGTTAGAAAGAAGAATGCATTGCTCTTCCTTGGACTCAGAGGGAGTACAGTTAGATCCACTAAAAACAACCATAGCAATAAACATCTGCCAAAGCGATTGTTTTCCTTCAGAACAATACAAACATTCCTTATTCTGGAACCCAAGCTCTCCATTAATCAGTGCTAAATGGCACTTCCCTGTCATCAGGCCACAAAGTAATCCTTTACACAGGCTACATAACTGTGTCCACTGTCACTGAGATCTGGATACACCCCTGTTTTCCCCTATCAATGTTTCTTTTTTGCATAAGAAATGTGAACAGTGTCAGCATTCTTTATAAAATTATTCTTAATGAAATGTGTAAGTTTCTCCTATAAATCAATTGAATTTAAAATCAAAGCACAAAAATATCTGAACAAATCTATGAAGTGTATCTTTTAGAAAGCAGAATTGGGTTTTCTGAGAATAAAAACAGAAAACTCATGCTTAGATATGTGATTGTTTTAACAATATAAATGTAGCTTTGTTCAATTATGTCCAATTAAGCAAACATTTGAATACAAAATATATGCGATACACTGAGCCTATAGAATAAATAAGGTGCAGAAAATTTTCCTTCAGGAACTGTCTTGATTGGTATGGAATACTCTTAGGTTAACACATTAATTTTCATTCTCTTTACCATATTAAAAATATAAACTCATTTCATATATGAATAAGTAGCAGGAGAACATATGACAATAGTCATAAAGAAATAGCACTTGAAAATGTCCTATGTGCCAGGCACTGTGAACACTTAAATCAATTATCTTAATCCTCACAATCATACCACAAGGTTTTATATACTTTGAATACCCAACCTCTGATTATTAGCAAAGGGAAAATTAGAAACATAAATTATTTGTACAGCGCCACATAGCTAGAAAGTAAATTGTAATCCAACCTGTCCCAAAATAAGAGACCACAAGTGTCTTAAATCCTCCCAAGTGCTCTCCTCGGTAGCACATATACTGAAATTGGAAAGATACAGAGAAGATTAGCATGGCCCTGCACAAGGATGATACCCAAATTTGTGAAGCATTCTATATTTTCATCTATGTAACAAGTGACTGATTGTCAATTTACTGTACCAAAAGTTGGCATTTGAGAAGTTAGTGACAAGTCTTTTCTGAACAACTACTGTGTGCTACATGCTAGCCTAACCCTGCACTGCTAATCCGTGTCTGCTCTTTTCTCTGTGATTGTTCTGCAGTAAATACAATGTTAGCATATGTGATAAAACGTTTCTGTAAGTCTCAAGGGGAAAAGCCTCCCATGAAAGCCCATATAAATAAACAGTATATCTATATAATTCCTGACCTGGACATGGAATTATCAGAAGTTTGTGGATACAAAAAGAAATGGTGTTTAAAAAGAGTAAGAAACCTACCTGGCTGGCAAATAAAATACAGTAAATTTTTTTTCACTACATTTAATAAAAGAAATGGTTGAACCTCAACACTAGATAAGACTTTATATAATACTGTATATAAATTTAAGAATGAACATATATAATGATATAAACTGGAATATAAAAGAATTTTTGACATAGAATTCAAGTTTTTTAAGAAACTGACTCTGAAGTGTCTTTGAAGTAGAAATGTCTCTGAATTTCCTTGTCATCCTATATTTCCCATGTTGTACAAACTTGGTTTTCCATGATGTTCCTTAGTCACAACACATGAACTAAATTTGACTCCATCCTCTTCTCATTTCCCTTTTTATTTTTTGCACAAAGTGTTTTAGTCTTGCTTGTATCTAAATGCTGAAATTTCAATCTTAATCATTCTTCCTCTGCAAAGCTGTTATCATCAAACACATAAAAGTACTGCTTGACTGTTTTAGGTGTTTCCCACAGTAATTTCCTTCTAATTGCTTTGCCCTGAATTATTGTTTTCTTTGTACATCTATCAACATCTGCTCTATTAGATACTCAGCAGTCATACTGAGTTCAGGATACCAGGAAAGGGAGAAACCATGCCTGCTCTCGCGCCCTCTCTCTGTCTCTCTCTCTTTCTCTCTCTCTCTCTCTCACACACACACACACGCACACACACAATCAAACACACACGCACACACAATCAAACACACACACACACACACACACAATCAAACACATAAACATTTTCTAAGAAAATTACAAATAAGTGACCATAGCATCTCAAAATATAGACAGCATTTTAACATTTTACAGTTTGACTGTTCTCTCTGATGGTATTTTGTGTAATTTTCAGGTTTATGCACACAGACATTCACACCTATACACAGATACACCTCGGGATAAACTGGAACACCGTTTAAACTTACTGAATGATTGATTTTATTTGTAATTATATAGGAAAATGACCTTTCACCATTTGTAGTGAAAAAGAAGAAATCACTCTGTTCTATATTAAACATGAAAGCAATTTCTCTTTGGTCAATGACCATGAGAGTCATGATATGTTCCACATGACTTCTTTACACATATGTTCCATTTAAACATTGCACACCCAGTAACATGTAAAAGGCAGGAGCATGGGGAGACCAGGAAAGATTGGGCCTTCTAGAAAAAAAAAAGGGGGGGGGGCTATAGAAGGCTTTAGATAAGAGACAACATGTCAATTGGATTGTGAAAGATGAGGAAGACAGGAAAAAGCCTAGAACAGGAACCTTTTAGTTAGAATTAATATTGTGAGGAAAGCACCCTGATGTCAAAATCTAAGGAAAGAGCCCATTTCGCAGCCTACCCTTTCCTTGGACAGTATCTATAAACTATTTCCACAAAGCTGACTCTTCCTTGTCACTCAGTGCTCAGCTTCAACGTCACCCTACTTCCTAACCAAGCTATATCTCCTCACAGACGGTGTGAATCTTTATCTCAGCACCCAGTTTTACTATTTTCTTCTTACATACACCACTCCCTGATGAGAGAGTGTGACTAGGAAATCCCTCCAAAGTGACATTTGAGCAGAGACCTAAGTGAGGAGAAAGAAAAACACATAAAGCAATGGAAAGAAATGTTCCCTCGGAGGAAACAAAGGAACATAAAAGCTTGATATGCTCCTGAATTACAAAAATAATAAAAAAAAAAATTAAAAAATAAAAAAAAAGATAATTTGGCTCAAGTGGCAGAGTAAATGAGGCAGAAAGTGGTAGGACATGTGGACAGAGGTTGTATAATGAAGGGTTTATAAATCATGGAAAGTAGGATTATAATCTGAATATAATAAAAGGCCCTAGAGAGTGTTAATAAAAGGAATAAAAATTCAATTATGTACATTTTTTTAAATGTGATTTATGGAAAACTGACCTTAAGGTAAGATAGTTTTAGTTAAGCATACAAAAGAAGAATTGTATCTATTGTATAATCACAAATTGTTGGGAATGGTAAAGAGACTATTGATAAATTTATTTCCAAAAATATTTCAGTCGTTCATGTTTATCCATCTAATAAATTGGTGTCTAGGATGCTTCAGGATGCAAGATGCCCAGTGAGTAGGATATCAGTAATCTAAGTGAGCCACAGTGAAACTGTTGTCTTGTTGGCTCAGGAGGAGAGAAGGAACCCTCAGTAGTCCTAAGGAAGATATTACTGGAAGCTTTTGCAGGTAAATTAAAATATATTGTACTTTCAACTGTATTTTTAGTCCTACAGCCCTAGTCTCCTAATTTGGTGATATAGATTGGGTGAATCTTTAGAGCCATGCTACATTATAATATACCAGATCAAAACAAAGTGATAGTTGCTTGAATCTCTGTTTATCTAACACTGGGTGTGTGTATATAACTTCATCTTAGAATTCTATGAGGACTTCCATCCTATTGAACTAATAAGAGAGCATCAGAAAAATCTCTATATTAGAACAAAGGTACCTTCCCACTCACAAATAGCATATATTGCAAATACCACTAATGTTTCCTTAGAAGCATTTGGAATTAGCAGATTATAAAGGGGAGAAATGGGTATGGAAAAAATAAAGTAAAAATGAAAACCATACCAATACTTTAGAAATGATTCTAGATGCAACACTACTATTTTATTGTTAAATTACTTCATTTGTTTATAACTTCGTTTGGCTGGTTTTCTGTTATCATGAAAGAGTACTGAGGATTGTATCTTTGGTGTCCCAATAAATGTAAAAGAGATGTAACCAGATGTAATCAAGAACCCACGGTTTCTTCCATAGAAACATATTATAAGTGGAATTTTCCTTAGCGAGACAGGTATCCAATCACTCCTATTCAGATTCACTTAAAGGAAACTCTACCATGCCCAACCTCACCACCAAGTGAGCCACATCAACATAAAATAATCGAAAAGTACCAATTTTACCAGAGCTCATGACATACATGGGAAATCTCTGTATACTGCTTTGTATTGAGTAAAGTGAGGAATAAAAGGACAGCATACATCTTTGGTATCTAAAGTCTTTTGGAATTCTGAGACTTCACATCCTTGTAAGAAATCAAAGGACTGGGAGGCAGAACTTTTGGAGTGGTTAGAGTACAAAGCTCTGAAATTCCAGTCCTCCATTCAAGCAACAGACACAGGCAAAGCTGCCAAAATTACTATTGCATTCAGGTGTCCTAATGGCATAATCCAAAATACAGCAAAAACTAAAGAACTAAAAGAAGAAATAGATCATTCCATAAAAAATAGTTAATCATTTTAAGACACCTGTGTTAGTAACTGACAGAACAAGTGGATAAAAGAATCAGCAGAGATAAACTATTTGAATGACATGTGCAACAAGATTGACTTAATGGAAACATATGTAGAACACATGCCCAACAAATGATGAAACTCATTCTTTACAAGCACACGAGAAATATTTTGAAAATGGACCATATATTAGACCATAAAGCAATCTAAACTAGTTTCAAATGATGAAACAGTAGAGTATAATTTGTGATCACAGAAGAATGAGCAGAAAAATCAATCACCTAAAGATAGCCAATGTATTCTAAGAAAAACACACAAAACAACAAAGAACTAAAAAAAGAAACCACAATTAAAATCAGATAGTGTTTTGAGCTAAATGGTTATGGAAATACAACATATCAAAACTTGTAAGATACAGCTAAAAATGTGCTTAGGGGAAAAAGATGTCACAACTTCAGATCCTGCAAAATTTAAAAAGAGAACAGTGGGTTTAAATCAGTGTCCTCCAAAATTACATTGAAATCCTAACCCTCAGTAATTGTGAATTTGCTTTTACATGGGAATAAGGTCTTTGCAAATGTAATTATTTAAGATGAGCTCCTGCTTGATTAAGGTGAACTCTGATCCAATATAACTGGTGGCCTTCTAAGAAAAAAAAAGAAATTGAAAACACAGAGGAGAGACACTGGAAAGAAAGCCAGGAGACAGTGGAAGCAGAGATTGCAGCTATGAACCAAGGATCTCTAAGGATTGACAGAAACTACCAGAAGGTAGGAAGAAGCCAGGAAGTATGTCCTGCTGACACCTTTATTTTAGACTTCTAGTCTCCAAAACAGTGAGAGAATAAATTTCTGTTGTTTCAAGACAAAAATTCTCAAAATTAAACATCTTCAGACATCTCTAATTTAACCAAAGCTTTGCAACCATCTAATGAGTATTTGTTCATAAAAATGTCTGAAACTTTGTAAGATCAGTGAACCTTGTGGCATTTTAATTTGCCCTATCACCATCCCCAACTTCTCAGCTCTGTGGTATCCTCAAAAATCAGCTATCTTACAACCACAGTTAGCTTAGTAATAGCCAAGGAAGTGGGCAGAATGGAGTGAAATCTCTCCAAAGAGCCCTATAATCAGTAAACTTCCACTCTGACATATCTGTCAGCTCCATGGAAGCACTCCCTCTGCTAAACTTGTCATTACATAGCCTGCATCTCATTCAGTTGGAAAAAGCTTTATTTAACCACAGGGCATTTGTCAAAAACAATGAGTAGCAATTGTTGAAATCACATCTGCCTAAAGTGGCACAACTATTTGTAACAAGAGGTTGCCAAAAACCATAAATGAATCAGGTGTCCTTATACCTAGGGGGATTTTAAAGGTTTCACCATATTCCTGGGGTAACTAGGAGG